CCCCCCTTTTTCTTCCCCAATAGACCTTGAGGCTCTCACTGGCTGGTCATGTCGATGCGGTACCGTTTCTCGTAAGAGCATACCCACCTGCGCCGTGACGCCGAGGCTCGTCAATGAGCTGTATCCCCTTTTGCGAGGATACCTGCACCGCCACCTGGTGAATAAGGCGGTGACCACAACGAAATGCTGCCGCCCTTGGACGACCAGGTACTGCGCGACAACCCCGAGTTCGCCAGGCTCTACTCGACGCTCACCAACGTCGTGCTAAACCTCGACGGGACGACCAAGCATGATCAGGAGGAGAAGAAGCGCACCGCCGTCCGTAAGGTAAGCCTTCCACATGTCTGGTTTGAGGGACCGGCCGTACGTGCGTTTCACTTGGCAGTTTCTGACATGCACATGTTAAGGAGCTCGATGAGTACCGCCTCGCGGATGTCAAGCAACGCCTCCTCACACATGCCATCGCTACGGCCTCACCGCCTGAGTCGCGGGCATCCGTAGCCAGATCCATCACCGAGCCAGGGCAACGCCTGCGAGAAGGGGTGAGCGCTGTCGCCGAAGTGCCCGAGCTGCTGCTCGACCTCCTCCTCGTCCTCCCCCAGCTCCTCGAGGCCGAGAAGAGCCTCCCCCAAGAATCGATAGAGCTGCTGCTCTCCAGCCCCCCGCTCTCAGAGCTCGGCGCGATGATGCCGGACCTCGCCGCCCTCGTCTCCTCAAACCTGCACTCCTCAGCCCTCAGTCTCGCCCGTCTAACACACCCCACGACCAACGCGTCCTACCTCCACAGGCACGTCGCCTCACTCCCGCAAGACCACGCAGCCCTCCTCGCGAGTGTTGAGAAGGCGCGACAGGACTTGGCCGTCGCGCGCGCGCGCACGCTAGCTTCCCTCGTCGAGCTGTTGCACACGTACACGAAGTGCCTCGCCCATCTTGTCCGGTCTCTCGAGGCGAAGCACGGCGTCGTTGCGCGTAGCCTGGAGCTCCGCGCCACCGACGTCGCCCTGCAGGCGCAGCGCGTCGACGCTGACGCGCAAAGCGCTTTGCGTAACCTCGCGAAGGAGGTGTACTCTCCCGAGGCGATCGCCGCGTTGCGCAACTACGCCGCACATGTGCAGGATGCCAAATTGAGGGCGACAGACCGCTTGCGAAGCCTCCAGGCCGAGCTTGGCGAGTACGGCGTTGGAGCCACTGGCGGCGAGGGCAAGGAGAAGATGATGAGAGAGATGGCTAGAGTGCATGGCGAAATGACACGGCAAATAGAGGAGGTGAAGAAGGACTTAGAGCGGCTGCAGGACGGCTAGCATGGCACACAGGCACAGTTCTGGGATTTCAGGTGTGCCAATCACTTAATGACGACGGGAAGCCGCGTGCATGGGAACATAGAAACTCGTTGCAAGGCAAACCGTATCATCTATCACGGGTAATCTTACATTCATGACCTCGCCGGTTTTGTGAAAGTACAGGATCCCACAGCAAACCCACGAGCCTCCTTGACCGCCCTGTCATGGTTGACTACATCATGTCGCCAGCAAGAAACACAGAAGATTGGTTGTCGAGGTTTAAAGAGATGGCAGAGCGACGCAGAGATCCAACTCCGAGCGCCGTTCCTGGCGCTGCAGGGTTCGGGACTTAGCCCTTGACCTTGTAGATGGCCTCGGCCAGGCGGCCGACGTTGTCAGAGGTGATGCCGGCGACAGAGATACGGCCGTCCTTGGTGGCGTAGACGGAGAACTCTTTGGCCAGTCTGTCCATCTCCTCGGCAGTCATGCCGGTGTAGGCGAACATGCCGATCTGGCTGGTGATGTGGGACCAGTCGTGCTTGGAGCCGAGCTTCTCGAGGTTCTCCTTGAGAAGGGCACGCATGGTGATGATGCGGTCGGCCATGGCCTTGACCTCGCCAAGCCACTGCTGGTAGAGCTTGGGGTTGCTGAGGATCTCCGAGGCGATGCGGGCGCCGTGGATGGGCGGGTTCGAGTACAGGGGGCGGATGAGGATCTTGAGCTGGGAGTCGACGCGCTTCTTCTCGGCGGCATCGGCGCAGACCAGAGAGAAGGCACCAACACGCTCACCATAGAGACCCTGGAAAGAGGAGAGAGATTTCGCATTAGAAAACAAAGGAAGAAAGAAATTCAGTACAGCAGAAGGCTACATACCATGTTCTTGGCGAAGGACTGGCAAAGGGCAATCTGGTGGCCCTGCTCGACAAAGTGGCGGACGGCAAAGGCGTCCTTGTCGCAGTCGCCGCTGGCGAAGCCCTGGTAGGCCATGTCGAAGAAGGCAAAGTGGCCCTGCTTCTTGACGACCTTGGAGACCTCCTTCCACTGCTCAGGGGTCGGGTCGACGCCGGTGGGGTTGTGGGCACAGGCGTGCAGGAGGAAGATGCTACCCTTGGGCGCAGCCTCGATGTCGGCAATCATGCCCTCAAAGTCGAGGCCGATGGTGTCCTTGTTGTAGTAGCGGTACTGCTGGACGTTGAGGCCGGCGTCGGTGAAGACGGCCTTGTGGTTGGCCCACGAGGGCGTGGGAATGTAGATCTTCTTGTCGCCAGGGTGGAAGCGCTCGAGGAAGGCGGCTCCGAGGCGCAGGGCGCCCGTGCCCGAGATGGACTGGGTGATGGCGACGCGGTCGAGGACGGGCGAGTCGGCGCCGTAGGCCAGCTTGGCGGCGAGGGCAGGGAACTCGGGGACACCGGTGATGCCGGCGTACTCCTTGTTGAGCTTTTCGTCAACGACCTTGCGCTCGGCCTCGCGCACCGAGGGGAGCACGTAGGGCTTGCCCTTGTCATCGCGGTATGCGCCGACGCCTGTCGAGCTCGTTAGTTTCCTAGTCTGCCGCGTCTTGCCTGCCAGAGCTGCTAGCGGGTGCCCGGGTCGTCACAGTCGTCACAGCACGGTCCGCGCGAGGGAGCGTACATACCGAGGTTGATCTTCTTGTCAAAAGAGTCGGCCTTGAAAGCTTCGGTGATGCCTGCGGCGCAAGAGTCGGTCAGTAAAAGTCTCAACGCAAGGCGCACCGGGTGCCCCGGGGGTCGCTGAAGACCCGAAGCGCGGCGAAGCTGGGCGACATACCAAGAATGGCCTACATCAAGGCGCAAGGGTGAAAGCTGTCATCAGCCCAAGAGCTCCCTTCGGGACGAACAAAGGGGCGAATATCGACTCGACTCACATCCTGCGCGCAAATGACGGTTAGCAGCCTGTTCGATCAATTGGGCGAGCTCGCTCGGATGCGGTGGACTCACAGGAGGGCCTTGGGGCACGTTGGCCCAGGTCGAGGCGGCGCGAGCGGCAACGGCGTTGAAGCCGGCGGCGCGGCGCAGGACGGGCTGCCTCGCGGCAGCGACGCGGAGGGCGGACAGCATGGTCGGCAGTTGAAGCGTTCCTGGCGGACGAACGGGACGGAGGAGGCCAGCAAACTCAATTGCTGGTCGGTTGAGGTACGAATGCGTTTGCGGAAGTGGAGGAGAGGGCGGGCGAGGTGAGTCGAGGCGGCGTCGCTGGCCTGTTTGTAGGCTGGTGCGACTTGTGAGGCCAAAAAAGCACCGGCCAGTGGGTCCAAACGCCGGTGCACGCCGACTGGTGCAGCTGCCCGGAGCTGGAGGGCGTCTGGCTGCTCCAGGGCTGCCCTCCGCAGCGCCCGGCGGCTGGAGCTCTAGGTGACGAGGTCCCTGGAATGGGGCCCCCCTGAAGGATGGGGCACAGCGCCGTCCCCGGTAAGGGAGAGCTGAGGTGCCCTGAGATGCCCAGGTGAGGTTGGGTGCCCGCTCAACTGTCCGCGCGATCGGGGACTACGGAGACCGAGACCGCGCGCACCGCGCTGTCCTCTGGTGGAAGCGCACGGCACCTCACCTGGGCAGCTACTAGGGTGGCGCCCCTAGGTACCTTAGCAAGCTCCACAGAGTGACCGCCAGACCCTGTTCATGCGGGTGAATCCGGCCCAGTCGCGGCATTGGATGGCATGTGAAGCCCCGTCAAGCCCTGGCCGTCGTCCCATGTTTAGCCGTTGAATCACACCTCTCATGCGATGATGCCCACACTTTACTTCATACTTTGTATTACAGTGCCATGCTGGCTTGAGATCGTCCTATATACCTAGATCTTAAATACCCCCTGCGCAATGTACATTTCCAGTCTTTGTCATACAATCGTTGATCCAGTTCAGTGCGGTGCAGGCTTGACAATTTCAACGTGAGCGTCGGTGTCCCACGCTATGCAAACTTGGCGCCCTTGGCCGGCGAGTCGACAATGTCCTCGTACTGGTTCATCACCTTCTCCTCGACAACCTCGTGGAAGACGTCCACCTCGGTAGATGCAAACTTCCGCGCGCTCACACCCTTCTCGAACAGGACGTCGAGCTCCGCAAATGTGCGGCCTCGTGGCTCCGGCAGGCGGAAGTAAGTGTAGATGATGCACATGAAGCAGATTCCAGCCTATGTTTACCCGTTAGCACCTCGCCATCGGGCATGAGCAGTGGCATGTCTTACCCAGAAGAAGCCCGTGTAGTTGCGCCAGTTCCATGCGCTGGGATTGAGCATGTACGGCGTCAAGACATTGGTAATGATGCCAACCACGTTGCTGTGGATGGTTGGTCAGCTTGCTGTGCCCAAGACAGAACGCGCGCGAGAACGGGATGAACATACTAGAGGTTTCGTCCCAATACTACCGTCTTGATCTGCAGTCGGCGCGAAGAGAGCTCGCTCACCAGCGAGTAACAGACAGTGCCCACAGTCAGTTGGTAGAATAGGGCCCACACGATCATGATGCTGCCCGTTGCCAGCGACGCCTGTGTCTTGTGCTCCTCGGGGACGAGGCCCAAGAAGCCCAAGATGAAAAGCATGGCACATAGGCCGCAGAGTCCATACAGGTAGAGGGATCGGCGACCGACACCCAGCGTCATGAGGCCCCACGCGCCAAACACGCCGACCATGTTGATGGCGTACTGTCCCAGCGCAAAAGAGTATGACTTGTCTTCGGAAAGGCCGGCCTGCTTGAGGAAATACGTCGAGTAGTTGGAGAAGGAGTTGCCGCTGAGGTTCTGTATCGCCCAAGTCATGCAGACAATTTCTGTCCGGCGCAGGTCGGCGCCCTTGAAACAGTCCCAATAGGTAGAGCCGGCCGTGATCTTCTCCTCCAAGGCTGTCGTGTGGACCATCATGGCCACCGTCTCGTCTGCGTCAAAATCGGTCTCGCGGTCGAGGCTCGTCAGGCGAAGGAGCGACTTCTTGGCCTCCTGGGTCTTGCCTTTGCGGACCAGCCACCAGGGAGACTCAGGGGCAAAGTAGATGCCGATGAACAGGGGCAGCGGCCACATCCACTGCAGAGCGTAGGGGATGCGATATGCCCACTCGTCTTCGCGGTCGAGCATGGCGTGGATAACCCCAATGCCAATCTCCTGGCCCAGACCCCAGCAGAAGTTGACGTAGGTCGTGAGGTAGCCTCGGAGGGCAATGGGGCAGACCTCGGAGGCGTACGTGACCGTCAGAGTTTGAAAAATTCCCCACGGAATTCCGCACAGGATCTCAGCAACGAGGAGGGTCTGAACGTTGGGCGCTGTGAAGAAGATGGTGGTGAAGGCAGCAACGAGGACGAGGCAGGCCATGACGGTGTAGCGATAGCCAAAGCGCTCCGAGACGAAGCCGTTGATGAAGAGGCCGATGATTTCGCCAACGGTGGCACCCTGGCGGCGGTGTTAGTAGCGAGCACGGGGGGACAAAGGACCGGTGAGCGAGCATACATTACTGAGGCCGGCCTGCCACGGCGCCGGCACCTCGTACGTGCCGTCGGCGAGTTGGACGCCGTACTTGCGGTTGAACTGAGGGAAAGCATCTATCGGCTAGAGTTAGTTTCACTCGCAGTCGCAGTGAAACAGCCCTGAAGGGACGCACAGAAGTTGTTGACAAGACTGATGTCATAGCCTTCCATGGCGATGCAAGTGGAAATGAGCAGACTCCAGCCAACGGCCTTGGGGTACAGCTTGAGGCCCTGCCAGAGAGTCATGGACTGCTCCTTGGAGGCGGCGGCGCGGGCATGCTCGATGATGGTGCGGTGCGTCTTGGAGGGATCCGACGAGTGTTCGTGAGTGGCATTGTCTGCCACAGGCTGGACGCCGGCGGCATCAATGGCCCCAGGGCTGTCATCACTGCGGCGAGCCATGATGGCCGGTCCGGCTGCGGTTGGCTGAGGGGAAGGGAGGGCTGAGGACAGCAGAACTTGAAATTTGAAGACGCGGTTGCGACGGTCAGGTCCCTACCGCATCACGGCTGACGGGGAGGACCAAATTGTGAGCGGGCGGTCAGACACAATGAAGCTGATGAGAGGCGACAAGTCCGGGGGTGTGGTTCGTATTTAAGCCGTCGCGTGCGGCTATTGACGAGCCTGGAGCCGTGACGAGCCGCGATGTCAGGCGGGGGAGGGGGAAGCAAAGACGACGAGGGCGTGGAATCAGCGAGCCGCGCAATGAATGGTAGCGTCGGGGCCGCCCTGCCAGGGTCCGTGTTGAAGCAAGATGGGAGAGTGAGAGGCCCGTCCTGTCGTCTGCATTAGCAACCCTCCCCCCGACCGACTGAAAATTTGGCCCCCGGCGCTGCCAATTAACGGGCCGGGCGACTTCTTAGCGCGTCTGCGCGACTCTGGGGATTGACGATTTTTTTGCCGTCCTTCTCCACGAACCATGTGGGGGTGCAAGCCACGTTTTTGGGGGGG